ACCGGGAATCGAACCGTGACCTCCTGGTTCATAGGTCAATGCTCAACCACTGAGCCATGCCGGCCCGGCTCGCCACTTCACTTTTATTACAAGTGAACATAGCAAATCCATGAAGAGGGGAGATTCAGACCTAAGGACTCTGAGACTAAAGTGCCTACTGTGTTTCCAAAGAGGGATAATGATGAGTCTTTTTTTTTTTAATAGTTTTTTTTTATTATTGATTTTAGAGAGAAAGGGAGAGGGAGATAGAAACATCAGTGCTTCACTGAAGAGCATTATGCTAAGTGAAACAAGCCAGTCAATGAAGGAAAAACACCACATGATCTCACTCACTCATGGATAATAGAGACCATTATAAACTTTTGAACAATAATAGATACAGAGGCAGAGTTGCCTCGAACAGACTGTTAAACTACAGCAGGAAGGCCGGGGAGGGTGGGGGGACAGGAGGGGGGGGTAAGAGATCAACCAAAGGACTTGTATGCATGCATATAAGCATAACCAATGGACATAAGACACTGAGGGGTAGGGGAGGCCAGGGGATTGTCAAGGGCGGGGGGGAAAAAAGGAGACATATGTAATACTCTTTGTAATAATTTAAGCATATAAAAAAAAATAAAAAAAAAACAAAAACAAACATCAATGCTTCAACATCAATCAGCTGCCTCCTGCACACCCCCTGCTGGGAATCAGGCCAGCAACTTGAGCGTGTGCCCTGACTGGGAATCCAACCCGTCACCTCTTGGTGCGTGGTTCGACGCTCAACCACTGAGCCACACAGGCCGGGCAATGATGAGTCTTGACATGCTCCTGCATTTCCTGATTGTTACACCCAGCCTGGTTACAGAGGCAGCCTTTTCTAAAGTCTTAGCCTTTCCCCCATCTCTCCATCTCGCTCTCTCTCTCTCTCTCTCTCTGAACCCCTCTCCCTAATCACTCCTTGGAAAGCTCCCTCCTCAGGGTTCTCTCAGATTACAAGCGACCCCAAGCTAACTTGGATGAGTGCCAACAGAGGGGAAAACATCCAGGGTGATCTTTTTGGCTGGACTCATCTCTGTTACATTTCCATCTTGCTCCGTACTTACAATTGCAATGGACTACTTCCTGCACAGGCTTCCTGGAACAGTCCCTGCCTGTCTCAGCCACAGACACCCCCAGGGCAGCACAGTCACTAGGAGGCGGCCTTGCATCGTTTAGAACAGGGGTCCTCAAACTTTTTAAACAGGGGGCCAGTTCACTGTCCCTCAGACCGTTGGAGGGCCGGACTATAGTTTAAAAAAAACTATGAACAAATTCCTATGCACACTGCACATATCTTATTTTGAAGTAAAAAAACAAAACGGGAACAAATACAATATTTGTATTTGCATGTGGCCCGCGGGCCGTAGTTTGAGGACCCCTAGTTTAGAACTTCCTTTGAGCAAATCGACATTCATGGCAGAATGCTGAGAAGGGTGTTAGAGGGACGTAGCACCATTCTTTTTTTTTTTAAATGCTCACCCGGGGATATTTTTTCCATTGGTTTTTAGAGAGAGTGGAAGGGAGGCAGGGAGGAGAGGGGGAGGGAGAGAGGAAAGACAGAAAGAGAGAGAGGGATTTGAGAAACACATTCATTGGTTGCCTCCCACACGCCCCTCAACCAGGGCAGGGATTGAAACCTGCAACCCAGTTATGTGCCCTTGACTGGGAATCAAACCTAAGACCCCAAGGGGCCAGTGCGATGACCACTCACCCAAACCGGCCAGGGCCATAGCACCAATTGTGAGGCTGTCTTGAATATTGTAAATTTGTTGATAAGAACTGAAAGGCATTTGATTTTCTTGTTCTTACCTATAGGTGTGGGAACTTGAGACTGGCCTCCAAATATACCAGATTCTAGACCCTCATGGCTTCAATATTGAACTGACTTCTGCAGCTATCGATGACAGTGGATTTCTTTTTGCCACAGGAGCGTATAATGGTCAGACTAAGATTCAAAACACGGCCTCCCTGCGTTAGTGCTCTGAGAGTTTGCTCAGGAAGCTCATTAGTAGTTTGGGTCACAGGGAGGGCATGAACCTGGCTGGACCATGTAACCATGACAGCAAGATCACAACGCCTGACGGGAGCGTGATAACTCTTCTTTGATGGGCATTCTTGTCCTGAGACTGATGTTCACTGTAATCAATACTTTCCATTACATCATACAGCTGCTTTACAGTTTGCAAAAGTCTTCCCCACATACAGTCTTCCTCCATCTTTGCTTGGACTTATCTGTGTTGCACTAACTCATCCAGTCCTACTTTTGGGGACCATCTGCTAAGATATACATATTAGGTTCAGTGGTTGTTGATAATATTTTTATTGACGGTAGATTTGGGGGCCACACAAAATATCCAGCCAGTTTGTCATAGAACACCTCGAATTCTCCTTTCGACTTGTCTATCCGTGTGAGCTCCTTGGGGTTAGGTGCTGTGTACACATTGGAGGCTCAGGCTTTGCTGTGTTGTTTTGTGTGTGTGTGTATGTGTGTGTGTGTGTGTGTGTGTGTGTGTGTACACATTGGAGGCTCAAGCCATGCTGTGTTGTTTTGTGTGTGTGTGTTTTTTTTAAATATTTTTATTGATTCCAGAGAGGAAGGAAGAGGGAGATATTGATTCTAGAGAGGAAGGAAGAGGGAGAGAGAGATAGAAACATTAATGATGAGGGAGAATCACTGATCAGCTGCCTCCCACAAGCCCCCCACTGGAGATCAAGTGCACAACGGGGCATGTGCCCTAACCAGGAATCGAACCGTGACCTCCTGGTTCATAGGTCGACGCTCAACCACTGAGCCACGCCGGCCGGGCTGTGCTGTTTTGTTTGATGTCCCTCGTGTTGGGGAGCAGGACATGGAACTTCCAGGAACTGGAGCTACAGCCTGCTTCCCTCTCACTTCATTATGTTGTAAACTCCCAGCAAAGAACTGCTTTATCTAGACCAACCGCATGCACTGCTCACAATACATTTATTCTAGGGACATATTTACTGGCATGAAAGCCCATTGATGGATTGAGTGGACATCCTGATGTAAAAGTCTGCTTTTTATTCTTTTAATATGTTTTTATTGATTTCAGAGAGGAAGGGAGAGGGAGAGAGAGAGAAACATCAATGATGAGAGAGAATCATTGATTGGCTGCCTCCTGCATGCTCCACACTGGGGATGGAGCTCACAACCCGGGCATGTGCCCTGACCGGGAATCAACCATGACCTCCTGGTTCATAAGTCGATGCTCAACCCCGAGTCATGCCAGCTGGGCTAAGAGTCTGCTTTTTAAAAGTGTGAGCAGATAGCAATACCCATGAAATAAAATTGCCCCTGCTGCTGAGTGGAGGTGTGATTGAGTGAACGCAGGTGCTCTCTCATGGGACAGTTCCTAAGAAAGCAGTCCCCTGCTCTTAGCAACCCTGCACCACATGAAAATTAGTCATAATAGAAATTCTGAGCAATGGACACAGCTATTATCAGACATAAGCATTAAGCAATTCAATGTGACTGAGATGGCACTATTTTCATGCAAGCATAATATTTTATTGCATTACTCATCCAGTCTAGAGGGTTTTTTAAGTATTAACAGTTAAGGGAGGGAAGGCAAAGTGCTGAGGGGCAGCCCACTATACCTAACCCTGAGGTGACCCTGCGATCTTTACTATTGCAGTGATGATCTTTCTATTAATAACAATTGTGGCATGCCCAGCAGGTGTGGCTCAGTGGTTGAGCATCCACCTATGAACCAGGAGGCCACAGTTCGATTCCCTGTCGGGGCTCATGCTGCGTTTGCAGGTTTGATCCCCAGTAGGGGGCATGCAGGAGGC